TGTACTCTTTCTTGGTTACTTGTTGTTGGTATCTAGAAAGGCTACAGATTTTTGTAAATAAATTTTGTAACCTTCCAAGGGAATAATTTAATCTTTTCTTTTCCAATTAGTACTCTTTTAATTTCCCTCCCTTGTCTGATTGCTCTAGAAAGTATTTCAGGCACTATATTGAAAAGGAGTGGCGATAGTGGACATCCTTGTTTGGTTCCTGATTTTAATGGGAATCTTTCCAGGTTTTTTTTTTTCTCTTTCTTTTAGAATGATGTTGGCTGTGGCTTTCTTGCATATAGCTTTAATTATGATGAGGCTTGTTCCCTCCAACCCAATGTGCTTTAGGCCTTTTATCATGCATACGTGCTGAATTTTGTCAAAGGCCTCTTCTGCATTCATTGAGATGTTGTGGTTTTATCTTTGAGTTCATTTATATGATTTATGCCATTAATTGACTTGTGTATTTGACACATCCCTGAATCTCTGGAATAAAGCCTAATGGTTCATGGTGGATGATCTTTATGATTAGAGTCTGTATGTAATTTGCAAGTATTTTGTTGAGAATTTTTGCATCTATGTTCATTAAGGATATGGCCGTGAGGTTTTCTTTTTTGGCTATATCTTTGCCTAGTTTTGGTACTAGAGTGGTGCTGGATTCATAGAAGGAATTTGAGAGATCTCTTTCTATAGTTTTGAATAATTTAAGTAATGTTGGTTGGAAGTCTTCGGTAGAATTCTGCTGTAAATCCATCTGGGCCTTTTTTTTTTTTAAGTCAGGAGGTGTATTACTGTTTCAATTTCCTTATATGTTATTGGTCTGTTTAAACTGTTGATCTCTTCTTGGTTTAGCTTTGGTGATTCTCATGATTTTAAATATCCATCCTTTCTTTTACATTTTCAAATTTAATAGAGTATAGGTTTTTAAAGTATTCCTTTACAATATTCTGGATCTTTTGGGTGTCTGTTGTGATATTTCCCCTTTCATCTCTGAGGTTTTTTATTTGAATTTGCTCTTTCTTTCTTTTGCTTAACTAGGCTAAGGGTTTGTCTATCTTGTTTAGCTTTTCAAAGAACTAGTTCTTAGATTCATTAATTTTTTGTATTGTTTTCTTTGTTCCTATTTCATTAATTTCTGCCTTGATTTTTCTTGTTTTTTCTCATCTGTTGGGTTTGAGTTTCATTTGTTCTTGCCTTTCCTGGAGTCTTGAGTTGCAATGTTAAGTCACTTATTTGTGCTCTTCATGATTTTTTAATGTAGGTACCTAGAGTTATAAACTTCCCTCTTAAGACTGCTTTTAAAGTGTTCCAGAGTTTTTACTGTGCTGTATTGTCCTTTTGGTTAAATTTGAGGAATTCTTTTCTTTCTTAATCTATCCTTTGACTCACTCATCATTCGAGAGTGTGTTGTTTAATCTCCATGATTTTGAGTAGTTACTAGGGCTTCTTCTGGTGTTGATTTTAAGCTTTATTGCATTGTGGTCTGACAGAACACATGGAATTATTTCAATTTTTTTTGTATTTGTTGAAGTTTGTTTGTGCCCAGGATGTGGTCAATTTTTTAGAAAGTTCCATGAGGTGCTGAATAGAAAATGTATTCCTTGGTACTTGGGGAATATTTGGTAGATGTCTGTTAGGTCCATTTGAATTGTGATATTATTTGATTTGGATGTCTTTTTATTCTTTGTCTGGTTGACCTGTCTAATGGAGACAGTGGGGTATTTTAGTCCCTATTGTTACTGTATTGGGATTTATCATCTGTCTTAAAGTCCTGTGATTTTTTTTTTTTTGATAAATTTGTGTGCACCAGAGTTTGTTGCATATACTTTCATGATTGTATTGTCTACTTTGTTAATTGTCCTTTTGACCTGAATGAAGTGAACCTATTTTTCTCTTCTGATTAGTTTTAGTTTGAAGTCCATTTTGTCAAATATAAGAATTGCAACCCTTGCTTGTTTCTTGTTGTCATTTTCTTGGAATATTCTCTTCCATCCTTTCATCTTAGGTAGTACCTGTCATTGAAGGTGAGATGAGTTTCTTGCAGACAACAAAAGAATGGATTTTGTCTGTTTTTCTTTTCTTTCTTTCTTTATTTATATGGGGCTTTTGGATACTCTAACGTTCCCACCTCTGAAGCGGTAACCCTAATATGCTTTAGGGATTAGATAAAAGCTCCCAAGTACTTTCAACATATTTGGCCAAACAAAGTTTGAGCCAAGAACCTGGCTACTTTTCTTTAGAGTCTTTTTTCCCTAACTTCCTAGCTAATTCCTACCTCTTATTCTTATCACACCATCCTCTGAAGA